GCCCAACCCGCCAAGTAATGGGCTGGGTTTATGTATACGAAAGTCCATACCGGGCCGGGTTATTGACTACCCCAGCCCATGGGTCAACGGGTTAACCCGCGGGTTGCCAAGATATAAAATACAGTAAATATATTATTTACCTACAGTGATATAAATAAATTACAGTATTAAGAGACTGTATTCTATCAAGAATATAAATCATTGCTCTACTAGAAAAGGATCTACAGCCGTGGGCTCCTGCGGGTGGTTCACATATATATATTTTGACCCATGGGTGGTTTGTATACTATCTTGACCCGGCCCAAACCCAACGGGCTGGGTTGCAAAACCTGAAAAACCCGGCCCAACCCGCGGGCCTAACAAGTCTAATACTGATATTGAATATCTTTTTAACTTAGCTTAAGATATCTGCTACTACCGCCGCAGCTATCTTAAATCTACTATAATTAAAGACTTGATAATATAGATATATATATTAAAATTTAAGCTTAAATAAGAGCAGTTAGACCTGATAGAAGAATATCTCTTAGCTAGTAAAGTTACTGCTATAGAGGAGGAAAGAGTCTCTTTATATCTATAGACTGATTTTCAGCCAGTTAGTGATAATAAGGAGGATAATTCTAGTGATATTTAAACTGAAATCCAAGGCCAGCTAAATAAATAATAATGTATAGCTACTAGAGAAGAAAGTTAAATAGAAGAATAGCTAGTAGAACAGTCTTATAAATCAGATAATAAGACTAAACACCCGTTGCCCGAGAATAATATACTAGCATGGGATTCTAAGAGGATTCACAAGACTCTAAGAGAGTTTAAGAACTATAAAATCAGTAAATTATAGTAATATAGCTTAATAAATAACTTCTAAGAAGTATTATCTGCCTTATTATATAATCTATATCTTATATCTATAATATAACTTCCATACATCTCAAAACAATAAAATATAGACATAACAAGCATAAATTATATAGTCATAAAAATAGCTATATTTATATTGTTTGCCTATCCATAAAGTATCCAAATCCAAACTACAGATACCATTTACTATCTATATTGTATTGTTGCGGATATATGGATAACAAATTACATCCAAATCCGCGGATATGCGGATTTGGATATGCGGATTTGGATATGTCGCGGATGCTGCCCCAGCCTAGGCTTAGCTAAAAAATGGCTTAGTCTCCCTGCAGATGCGAAACACGTTCTTGATAAGAGGGCGGCGGAAGAAAGGAGGCTTTACGACGAAGAGCGTAGAATGTTTTCCCCAAGCCATAATTGCCCATGGTCACACATACAACATTGTGTTGCGCGTTAGTACCATTCAGTCATCTATCGCAATATATTTTCCACCCCTTCCTAATGAATTTCAGAGAGCAATAGCCACATGAAATACAAGTGGGAGTTCGAGGTCTTTATCGCAAGTATGGGAAAACATTAAGGGCACTGTTTGAACTGTAGGTTGGTGATGGTATGGGGAAGGGTTGAAGAACATCGGTTGGCGCGTTGGCTAGAGCTCCACCAGCGTCTATCCTTGAACAGAAGTTTGATCGATTAATCAATATAAAGATCTATTGACTGAATTGGAGACATGAACGAATGGGCAAACTCGGTATTTTATATTTTACATGCATACTCTGGGACTAGAGCTATGTAATATTCTAGTCCGTAACCTAAGAGCTTCGACTCTATAAGATAGATTTCATTACTTCTACATAGGTAAAATATCTTGGGACTAAGTGCAAAAAAAAAAAAAAATTAAAAAAAAAAAAAAGCGATCGACCATCAGACAGCATTTCCTAATGGCATTGCAAACATACTATAGAATCTGGCTGCGTCTCGGCCTAGCGTTTCCGATTCAGTTTTTGATGGCTACGAACTAGGTCGTTACTTGCTAACGCAGCACACACGCTCAGCTCCCCAGCGAGTACTGTGCTCGCAATTATCTTGGCTAGTTTTGCTGAGTTCACGCCCGGGCCATGAGGGCTTGATCCGCGCACCCCCAGCAGATCCAGTAAAGATGCCTGGGCTGGGAGAATAGTGCCACCCCCAACGGTTCCAACTTCAATCGATGGCATTGTCACGGAAATAAGCAAATCATCCGCCACGCTGTAACATCATTAACCAGTACACTGTTATATATTTGGTGAGAGTGTCGAGTAACAATTATAGGTACTTACAGGCTCATGGTAGTGATGCAATTGCTACTCTCGACGTTCTGAGCAACATCTTGTCCGGTCGCCAAAAAGATAGCGGACACTGTGTTACTGGCATGCGCATTAAACCCACCTAGGGAGCAGGATATGGCGCTACCAATGAGATTTTTGGCAGTGTTCAATTCCACCAAGGCAGAGGGGGTGGTTTTCAGAACGCTTTCCACTACCTTGGCAGGTATACGGGCCTGTGCCGAGACACTTTTCCCTCTGCCCTCTAACCAGTTGATGGCGGCCGATTTTTTATCGCTGCAGACGTTTCCGGATAGAGAAATGACCTCCATGTCCTCGAATCCGGATCGCTTCATACATGCTAGAGCATTATCTGCAGCAATGGAAACCATGTTCATTCCCATGGCGTCCCCGGTAAAAGCTTTGAAGCGGACATATAATAGCTCCCCGACCATGAAGGTTGTCAGGCCTTCAAATGTAATATGGCCGCTAGTCCCCGAAAATGCGCTCTTGATGATCTCTTCCGCGTCACCAGATTCTAGCCATTCTTTTGCCTGGCGAGCGCGCGAGAGAGATAAAAACTTTAGGCAAGGGGCGCGGGTGATGCTGTTAGCATTAAGGAAGGCTGTGGCGCCGCCTCCCATGCTAATTGCCTTCGCTCCTCGAGAGATACTAGCAGTCAGTGCGCCTTCCGTGGTAGCTATTGGAACATACAGAGGCTCGCCATCAATTACCAATGGGCCAGCAATTCCAACCGGTATCGGGACATATCCAATGACATTCTCACAGCATCGATGGAAGATTGAACTATAGTCCAAATTCTGGAAAGGAACGGAGTCCATGAAGTTTGGCTCTTTGCTTACTGTTGAGCGTTGGTTTTGGATGAACTGCCTGCGGATTTTCACTGCACGAGTGTAGTCCCCTAGCGATTCCTCGAGCTTCCTATGGTCTATTTGTCCTTCTACACAGCTCTTGATAAGATACTCGTCATTGTATCTATTCCCGGACTGCCCAGCCCCGTGGGAGTTCTCCAGGGAACTAGACTCGAGGGCGGCGACACTAGCCGGAAGTGAAATAATTCGCTCTTGGTATTTCTAAGCGGACAGATATCGGGATCTGGTAAGCAGATGGAGTTGCTGGAAACGTAACCAGAAAAAAAGTCACACATGTTTGCGTGGAAGCTCCTTGCATATGAAATTACACTCACATTCAGAAAAATCATCTTGGAGTTTCGAAGATGAGAGAATTTTCTTAAAGTAGAACAATTGGGACTTCTCCTGATTATTTGTACTTAAGGGAGAGGGAATTATATAGACTACAACTACAGTCAGGCTGCGAAATCGGAATTAGGCTGTGGCACACTAGGCATCCTTGTGATTCTGTGCGGTACATTATCGAAAAAGAGCTGCCACATAAGCATAACCTGGCTCTTTGTTTCCAAGTATACAAGGAGCAAGTTCTATAGCATTCTGTGCTTCCCAGCAAAGAGAGGGTTGGCTTCAATAAAGTAACAATTGACAGCCACCGTGGAACAATAACTCTATTATCTAACAATCAAAGCGCATGCCTCATTTGGTCCGTTAACAGATATAACGGGTAAGCGCTTGAGCAAGAATCGCTTGATCGCGAATTGATGTATCACGGAATAGGGGATGTCTAACTTAGAGAATATCTAGATATCTTACGAATTGTATAGTTAGGTGACGCTAAGTCTAGTGTGTCACTACTGCCGGGCCTAGATTGTCCCCGGATGTCCTTTGAAATTGTAATGTGAGTCATACATTTGTCACTGCCTTGAACACCAGGATGCATGTACAGAAAAATAGATGATCTTTAAGCTTATCAGTGGTTTGCCTGAATGGTAAGATTAATATCTGGTAACATCTACAAAAGTACTACTCTAGAAATCTCGGATATTGGCTGTGCCCTTGAAATGTTGGGTTCACTCTGCGTTGTCTCCGGCCCACATTGTCTCAAATGGGGATCGTACATTTTGAACCAGAACAGTTCTCTCCTTTAAAATAGCCCAAGATATAAAATCCGGCGTGAAGATGTTCCTCCAGGACACGATGTCATTGGCTGCAACCGGGTGTCCAGGATCAAAGCAGTGAGACGTAGATTGATATTATTATAAGCCTTGGATGCCCTGATCGGTTGATCCAAGCCTCGATCTCCACCGGAACCGGAACGAATTTCATATTCAAGCTATTGACAGGGTCATATGTATACGTATGGTGTTGATGGGTTAAATATTGTGGCATTTGGAAAACCACGACTGAGGCGGAAAGTACCATTCAACGCATACTTCTTTCTTTCCTTCCTTGTAGCTCATGTGTATATGTATAGAATACGGGTGCATTCGTTTTCCAATCCATGGTAAATCAGTATCGAGCACAAGGATTACGTTTGCAGATGGCACGGCGGGCGCGGCACCCGTTCTCTGACTCACGAACGCTCGGCGGTTTCATAGGCCTCGACTATACTGGGATGGCTTGACTCAGCTGACTGTTACAATTCAGTTGCGATCCAAGGAGTTTTGGGGTTTTTCAGGGACAGCTGCGAAGTATGAACGACCAGGGCGGCATACACCGTACCTAGTAACATGATTCTGTAATATATGAATGGTATATTGCCATGAAGCTGAACAGACTCGCCCACCAATAAAGACATGCCTTGTAAGGATTAAAACTCCATAACGGCTACATATTCCCCCTTCCAATGTCCTTCTTGGCCTATCCCATGTTGTATAAAGTCAAGCACTTCGGCCTCCCTCCTTTGGGTCTGCCGAAGATACTGGGGATGGAAGAAGACCAGCTGATGCCCCTAATTCGGCGTCCTTATGGCGTATAGATCGGATTTCCTTAAACATAAATATTGATTCAACGGCAAGGTTCCCCCAAGAGGACCAATATAGACTAGAAGGGTAATCCACCATTCCATGAATATCGGCTTTAGCGCTGTGTGTTGATGCCTGTAACCAAGGAAATTAGTTGAACAGTGTCGTAATTTTAGAGAATATCAGATTTAGGCCTTGATCAGCAATCGCAGCCCATGAAATAGTCCAACACTGTATCAGGAATGTGGGCCACTGGGTCAGTGCATTGAGCCAGAATAGGTCGCCGAGGAGCAAGGTCAATTCTGGACCATAGTCCCGAAAGGTGATAGGCCCTAGGAAGACGACAGGCGGTATAAAGGTGTAGATCCCCGCGGCACAGCTAGCTAACTGTAAGTCACATAGGTTTGGATATAGGCTCGCGGAATCATTCGCAGCTGCTTGGGCATAATTGCCCTGAGTGGAAGGTAAAAGCCACCCGACAACAAGATTAGAGCAGCTCCCGCTTAGACTCCCTTTTTGTGCGCGAAGTAGTGTTCATGGACAGATGCACCAGGAGGCAAGAAATCCGGCGCCACAAGGAATAGAAGGAATAGGAGGCTGTAGAGGAGCCTACTGGTGACGCAGCAATATTCTCAGTTCTTTGGAGTAAGTAACTTGAAACGCGCTCATATATCACTGAGCTTGTTCTTCAATAAACCAAGCAATGTAAGAACTTTCATGACGTGCGTCGTATCGCAATAAGTACGAATAATTATGAATATGGATTGTCATATAACTAAAAGAGCATGGATAGAATGGATGTTGAGCTGTAGTGTGACTATCGTCGAGCTCCCTGGCGTATAGATTATATAGGGAAGTAACAAATTCGATGCACCGGTGTCATGCGTATCGAATGACACATATTCATTGTCACCATAGCATATACTTTACAGGGGATGAAATATATGCCATTAACAGGCCAGATCCGCAGCACTGGTGGAATTCACTATCGCAATCATCTGAAACAAGGTCTGCTATAGATATGATGCAATGATATAGTACTATCCAGTGTTGATCTAAGTGGTATTATAAGGTGTGCGCGTCAAATATGGCTACTAGTTAGACTGAAAGTCTGTGCATTTCACCTGCAAGGGCCCGGCTAAAGGACTACAACATTCACAAACTCCAGGTTTGAACTTTGACTAGAGAATGGAATAAATAAGGTTATAGCTATAAACCTAGAAAGGGTAAGTTGTAAAGGGCGGATCAAAGGTATTCCAGTAACGTGGGTCACCACCTGCCGCACGATATTCATACTCACCGACTTTCGAACCGCAATAATTTGAACCTTTATATCTCAACCAATATAACTCCAATCGAAGAGGCGTTAGCAGTAATCAATTCGTTGGGACCTGGCGAATCGATTAATTATGTAACGGCTCAGGCCAATGTAGATAGATTGATTCTATTGGGTAGCTCTAATACGAGAGAATTGCTTGAAGAAGAGAATATCCCACAAGCGAAGCTCTGTGAGATATTATCTATCTTGAATACAAACAGAACAAACAAGAATCCTGCACTACTTGCTAATAGTCACTATAACTCAGCAGCCTATATAGTGACTGCACTATTATATTATCCCCTTCTTCAGTAATGACTGTCCTCAGCCATTCCGACTTGTCCAGCCTTATAATCTGTTATTATCTGGATAATCCTCTAGAAAAGTATCATGCTCTGTAGCTGATAGCTATTCTTATAATCTTAATAAAGATCTGGACTGCTTGGGATATTACTGGTAGAAATCCTGTAACTATTAGAAAGAGTTTTTGAAATTGCTTACTGAATACTAGTTTAAATCCTTATTATAACTGGTTTATTTAATATAGTAGTATAGCTTATTCTATATCTTCTTTACTATAAGAACTTTCTCTATCTTCTATTCTATTTATCTATTAACTTTGATTAGTAGTATCTTATTCTATAGCTATTCTGGTAATAGATCTCTGTCTATCTTTCTGAGCTTGTCTGGTAAAAAGACAGGATAGATCTTAATAGAGTTTAGTAAGTTAAGCTTATATATATTATTTACCTTGCTAATAATACAGAATTTCTCTGCTATTTATTAATCTAATTTCTTGTTAAGATATCCTATATTCCAATACTTTATTATAATATATATCCAGTTTCTAACTTTAAAATTAATCTCTTTATAGTAATAATCTATCTGCTTCTTCAAGGATTCTTAAGTCTTAATAACCTGCTACTTTACTCAGTTCTATACTTCTTCTAGCTGGTGCTCCCACTGGTAAGCTTCCTGGAAGTCAGGGTTCTTCAGCATCGCAGGATCTGCAGGGGATTACCAGTTAAAGAATACTTGTGATTTATAACTGTAATCCACTATAAAAAAGAATAGACCTATAGATTCACTCCTTAATATAGCAGTAGCATGGTCTATAAATAATAGTAAGTCAGATTAATTATTCTAGTAGTAATTTATAAATAGTTAGAGATACTAAGTAATATATTAATTAATAATTTTAGTCTAGCTATTTATCTGTAAATATTTATTTATAGACAGCTTTAGTTTTATCTCTAGAATCCTGCAGAACTTAGTCCAGAATTCTAATATAAACTATTTCTCTTAATCTAAAATAATAGAGTCTAATACTTCTTTCTAATAGTAAATATTCTTAATATATATTATTACTATATTGCAGGCACTAGAGATCTTGTAGTATAGTATTAATATAGATCTTTTTAATAAATAGTTAATAATAATAAAGATACTATTAAATCTCTTTTAGTTCTTTGGCATAGAGCAGAAATCTATAGATATATACTGTCAGAGCTGTAATAGAATTAGTAGAGACTATAGTAATCCAGGAAATAGATCTTGGAATATTTTGTCACGGATATAGGATTGGGCAATCAGTGAATGAGTAGTAGACACGTGACCCCTTTGTCTATAAGGGCAGCAAAGCACAATAGCTTCATGTTTTCTTTTCTTTTCCTCTCTTTAGCTTAGTCTCTTGGTGATAGACTACCTAATCAACTATTGATTCAGCCGAGTCCCTTACATATTTAACAGTACTGGCAGGTCTTACAGTTATATAGATATTAGTCAATATTCTTAAATATTCCTGGCTAGTAGTATCTTGCTTATATAAGCTGGTATATTTTATTTCTTTCCGGATATATAATTAACTTCTAATAATAAGCTTTATTTAATAGCTTTATTCTTAGTTTATCTTTCTTAGAGATTACTAATTATTCTTTATATAAGAATAAGTTTCTTTATATATTCTAGAACTTTATTAAAACTTAAGCTCTTTTCTATATTTCTTATAAAGAGAGATTTTTCTAGTTAGTCTTTAGAACCTTATCTATTACTTATATCTTTAGCTATA